AGATTAGGCTGAACCCTCTGTCCAGCCTCTCATCGTCAAACCATGGTTGATAACATTTCATTTCATTAGAGAGTACTCTTCCTCCTCCTCTCACTCTCAGCCCAGCTCTTCCTCTTCCTCTTGCTTCCATGTTGGCGTCCATTGTTGCTGTAAGAAAGTACTCACCTCTGGTCTTTTTATAGTGCTAACATCCTGATTGATGAGCCAACAATTATGCTATCAGGTGTTTGGTCGGGTGGAACGTGTTTCTTGATTATGTGTGTGGCATTTTGAATATCAGTGTTTTGTATGTGCTAACACGTGACTTTATGTCAGATTCCTGTGTCTTACGTGGAGAAACGTGTGCAGTGGTTTGCAAAAAGTGCCATGTTGATTTGCAAATTGTGTGAAAAGCTGAAAACGTGTTTAGAGTTTTGGAGATTTGAGCCGATGTTTTTCTCTTTTGAGTGTCAGTTAAAATAATTGTGCTTTATGTATAATTTTAGTCTGTTAGCAATCGAAAAAAACTGTAATATGAATGCTGCATACTTTGTTGTTGTATGTTCCGAATGTTTTGATGTTTAATCGTACATGTATAATGACAATATGCTTTTAATCTAATCTAATCTAAACTGTAAGCAAATACAGAGTCTCTCTCAAAGCGACTGTAAATTGGACGTAAAGTCATTACGTGGTCAGAAATACAAATGCTGCTCCAGGGCCATATCAACTTACAAGACAACAATGTTGCATAATGCAGCTCTTAGGCTGTTGTCCAGTTCTGCTACTAAACCGCCTAAATTACTTATTTATGAATCTTTAACCTGTTGTGTATGTCAATGTCCGGGTCTTGACTCTTTAGTGTTGCATTTCTTCACAGCTTTTCTTAGCACACTTGCACACTATTACATCGAATTGTACATTTAGGTGGCAACATGTTTCTCTAAAAAAGACTAATTATTTATCAGAATACAACAGTCACAGTTTAAGTTGTGCTTATGTGTAATTATCTTTGGTAAAGAGATGAGATTTCATGATTTTTGTAACGTTTTCTGTATTTTTTGTTTAAATTAAATGTTTGCTTTGCTCTTAAACCAATGTAGAAGCTGTTTAAAAAATGTATACAAGGACAGAAAAGCAGGAAGGGATTCCTTGGGCTTTTTATAACTAAAGCAGTGTGCTGTAACGTTACCTGCCACGAAAATATGGCAGCTCTGTCGTTGAGTTAAAGAGATGCCTTTAGAGAGTTTGCTTCTACAGTCGTCTAGTTGCAGTGGAAACTCTTTTGCTTGCTTGGTGTCGCGGGAAAGTCATTGATGCTTATATTTTCCCCAGGTTGTGTATGCCTACAGTATGTGTATATTCATCTCTGTGACAACCAAGCAATGGAGCAGATGTTGTCCCTCATCTCTTTTGCTGTCGCTTATCCAATTGTCCTTTCTCCCTCTCCTCTGGCTAGTTCAGCAAATATCCCTGATCCCTTTTGTATTCCCTTTAGCTCCCAGTGACATGCAAGGATAGCTAACCTCAGGGGGTGCATGGTCTTTTGTGCAGCTCAAGCTGTTTGTCAGATTTTTTGCTTTGCAGGCCTCGGGGCTATAGAGCAACTGATACGAGGGATTAAGCTTCCAGCCCCCCTGTCAGCGTACAAAAAAAATAAAACCTCCTAATCTGCAATTTCTGGAATATCCGTTGCTTAATCCTGAACCACAGTCCACAGATTACGCAATGGATTTTTGACGCTCTGTGTGTATGTGTCCAGCTGCCATTGGTGAGAATTGTTGCTGAGTGTGGCTCTGTGGGTGTGCAGTTCCCTTTGTGTCTGCTTGCATCTTTGTCTCTCTCTCTCTCGCCGTGTCTTTTCGCTGTCTCCTTAATTTGCTGTCTCAGCTTCGGACAGGCAGCCGCGTACCTGCTCACATTGCACAATCTCGCCTCTCGCTGCGTCACATACCTCCCTCAGGATTTTCGCCTCACGCTGTATGTGTGCTCTAACGCTCTTGCGACATTTTCATCTGTCTCTGTTCCAGTGGCGGTTCTAGACCAATTTTACTGGGGGGGAGTGGCAGTTATTTCATGAGAGGGGCACAATAAAAGCGGGTTAAAAAGACAAAGACAGAATAAAGTAATTGTGTAAAATACACATCAAATACAGTAATTGCTATTTGTTTTAGTAAATGTAAGTTACAGTCCTTTGTTTCAGTAGTTTTTTTTAGTAACTTTAAGTGACAATTTGCTTTTATAAGGTAATGAACAGTTTAATCTCCACTGTACATCCGGGTCTCTGATTTGATTTAGTTCCAATAAATCGTAATATTGTAACCTTTTTATTGGAGGGGGCCGCAGGGGGGTCCCTGGTCAGGGTTACGGGGGCACTGGCCCCTGTTGCCCCCCCCCCTAGAACCGCCCCTGCTCTATTCCTTCTTTCTGTCCTGCAACTGAAATCTTTCTCTCTTAATTTGTGTCCGCCTTGCTGTTGGTCAAACATGTTGTTGTTGTTGTTGTTGTTGTTGTTGTTGTAATGTCTCTCCTCTGTCTGTGTTCTAGGTCTTACGTCATTTTCTCAGAGCACTGATCCCATCTCCAACCCTTCTGTGTTCCTCTGCATGGATGTCTTGCTCTTGTGTCTGTTTGGTGTCTCTTTGTCTTTTCCTGCCTGTATTTTCGACACCAAACAAGCTGGTCTGATAGAATCTCTCAGACTTGAGTGAAAATACCGCAGACTATTAATGTTTAACGACAGATGTGGTTGTGTCCATTTGCACACATTGATTTCCTAATGCTTTCCTGTGAGATTGTTCAGGCGAATTAGGTGATGAATGACTTTTGATTGACCTCTATTGGCGGCTGAGGATTAGCTACGACAGCTGGTGCAGTTTACAGCAGACTGTAATTAACACAAACAATCACAAGTCACATTTGCAACAAGCAAGAAAGCTTATTATAGCAGAGATTAGACTGAAAAATATAAAACACAAATGCTGATTTTCTACAAAAAAGGTTTAGGAGAATTGCCTCAGGTCTGTGTTATAATGTAGAAATCCTCTGCAGACTCATCTCCCAGAAAACCTGAAAACACGAGACCCTGGCCTATCCAAACCCCTTTATTGTAGATTCAGGTATTTAAGTTTTCTTCATTTAAGATATGGTGGTGTGCCCGAGGTAGTTTTAAAAGCTACTTTCTAGGCAAATTACCAGACTTACTTTCAACATTTTGGTCAGATTTTTGATGGTTTTGGCAATTTTTTCTATCTCGGATATACTGCACTCATGGACTGACATGAACTGTAAAGATCTGGGGTTTCCAACAAAGCTACTAAAACATTACAATTGTTTCTCCACAGTGGTATAAACACAGTGGGATCCTCTGCCTTGGGGTCTGTGGAAAGATTCTGGAGTAGCTAAAAAGTAGTTTTTACTAAATTATTAGTAAAAGAAAAAAAAAAAAAATCAACAAATATACATATGTCCAGATTTAGATCGTTGGTGTTTTCTGTTAAAATTGTTGTCACAATAACCAATAAACTACCATTTAGACTGCACAAGGGATATCTACACTAACACAATAGAGGTCAAATGCCAATGCTCTGCAAGCTTTAATAGGATAAATGACAACATGGCAAAACCATATGAAGAAAAAAAGATGAATTACCGCCCTTGCTGTTTTAAGCCGCTGTAAACATTTTGGTGAAAACCGCTTTAGAATGACGTGAATCTGAAACTGAAACACAAATTATAATCCATTTTAAATCAATCAGGTCAGCTTCGGGTTCAAGTCGTTCTCTGGTCAAACTGGGATTGGGTCTGTGTTTGCTTTTAAATGCATGGGTCCATCTCTTGTTTAAATATGATACCAATAGGTCCATTTCAGTTTGGGTTCCTATTTTCTGGCTTGTGAAGTCTTCAATTATGTTCTTAACTTTCTCTCCTTTTCCTTCCCTTTTCCCTCTTCCCTCCCCCTCTTTCTCTGCAGTGCATCATCGGCCCTCAGGCCTCTTCCCTCCTGCTTCCCCATCTCACCATGCTTTTGCAGAAATGGCTATTACTACTCAAACCTGTGCTAAAATTCTCCCTATTTCCTCCTTCCTTCCCTCCATGTTTCGCTGCGTGGTGTTACCTTGGTACTTTGTATCCTAGGGATTTAAAGAAAGACCCTTTTTTAATTAAATATGTGTATATCAGGCCATGGATGATGTGCAGCCGCTCTGAATCTCAACCAAAGTTAATGGTTTCAGTTCCTCTGATCAGCGTTGTGTTTCCTGTTTCTCCTTCATCTCCTTCCCCCCATGTTGCAAATCGAAACAAACGCACCCCCCAAGAGGTCAAAGTTGACAGTAGTTCAGGATCATTGGTTGAGAGCCATGGTGAGGTCTCAGCGGAAACTGCAAGGTGCAGTGTGAGAAAGAAACATTTGGAGTTACAGGTGTGTAACTCGTGGCCGATGAGAAGTACGTGTCATGATGATGATGATGATGATGATGATGATGATGGCATATATAGAGTCACGCTTCTATATATGGATTTAGCTCATTCAGCAATTGACAGAATGCAAGAAAGTAGTTATGTACTGCAACCTCTTTATTTCCCCTCAGTTGAACTGATTATAAACTGCTTGAATGTAAATTACTTCAAAATTAAAACCCAAATCAATCAAATTCACAAGGATCTCTAAACTATATTGGGTGGAAATAAATATTGCAAGAAAAAAAGCTACGTCCGATACAGCGAAAATAAAACATGCATGCATTGGGCATTGGGAGCAAGCACGCAAAACAATTAACCATCAAGAGGTACAGTAGCTGACAATATTTTAAGTACTGTTTGGAGAGTTTGCTTGCTTATGGGAAAACACCAGGGCACTGCCTGTGTTACAACCTCTCTCACAGGTCAGGGGTTCAGAAATAAGAGGATGGCCCCCCACGGCTCTTACCTCTTAGCCGTGCACCTGCAAATAGACAAAGAGCAATTAAGTGATAAATGATGTTTCTAACTGCGTGTTCTTCATCCTTTTCACACTGTAGCATGTCTGTGTCGTGGAGCCTGCGTGGAGGTGGACTCAAACACAGAAGCCGTGGAAAAAAAAGGTTTCAAACTGGGCTGCATCTCCTGTAAGAAGAGGGGCGAGGTTCCCGCCAGCGCCTTCGTCGACTGGTACTTCCAGGAATCAGTTGACCACATGTTCACCCATGTGAGTGGCAATAAGATGGGAAGGCTTTCAATAAGAAGCTCCTCGGTGACAATTAAAAAAAAAGAGTTCACATTTTGGGGAATATCTTTCCCATCTTGCAGAGGTGAGAAGAAGAGGGGCAAAACAGTTGGCGTGGCTAATTAACACTGTAGATTAATTAAATAATCCCATTAAATGCAGCCAGTTTTCATGTGTCCAGAAAAAGCTGTAATGCGAAAAGGCTGAATTTATCATGAGAGAGCAGAGCCTTGCACTTTCAGAGCAGGCTTCTTTCCCCATGTGTTGACTGGAAGACAGCACTTTCTCTGGACCAAGCAGCTCTCCCCAGGCGAAGCAAAGAGGCCATTATGGTATTCTGTGTTCATGTAGCAGGAGAGATCCCATTAGCCTTCAGCATCTATTAGGAATATGTATCCGCTAATTCACCAGGTCGTGCCGAGGTGAGGCCATTACTGCAGCTCGGTCGATACAGAAAACAGCAGCACTGGTGAAGCCAGCTGCCTTTCTCTCAAGACTGACTGTACTGTATTTCAAACTTAACAGTCAGAGTCTAAATATTCATTCGTCAACACAGGACAATCCGTTTTATTTTACACCTGAACGCAACAAAGAGCAAACAGCAGCTCTCTGTTGTGGTTTCATTTATCCACGCTTGTAAATAATTGGACTACAAGTCAAATACTACAAGATGGATCCAAAAGCAGCTAGAAAGTCACTATATGTGAAGTGTGAAAGTTGGGAAATACATTCGTTCTCATTCGAGAATTTGGCAGGGACATTGCACATTAATGAACACTTAAAACATGAAATGTGCCTGTTAGTGCAATTAATGGCTCACCAACTTGAAATGCTAACACAGAGAGAGAGATCAATAAAACACAAACACAGATATGGTTGAGATTAATTATTATTCAGTTGCGCAACAACAAACAATAATTAATGGAGTACATCACCTTCTTCCACAGCAGCCAATCGCGGAAATGCCCCAACGAGTAGAAGTTTCACACAGGCATATATATGTTTCTAAATGAAGCACACACATGAAAACAACACAGATTAGTTGATATGTTAATATGGTCCAGATGTGGAAAGGTCATTATCTTATGACATCTTTAGGAGTAATGAACTAACAAAGACTTAACTGTATTATAATCTAAAGCTTCTTTGTACTTCCTCTTACCTTGACCAATTTGATCAAATTGTAATAATTGCGGAAGAGACAATGGAGCCTCTCTGACCTGTGTAACCTTAATGAATAAGCGAGAAATACGCTGTATAAGGAATCTGCCATAACATGCCAAGTGTAAATATGCCGGATTTAGCTTTGAGCTACTTTCCATCCGCAGTCCCTCACATGTTCATTTGGAACCATATCAGGCGTGTCCAAAATAATTGAGAGATATACATTGGTTTGGGGTTTGCAGGAGATCACAGTAACAAAGCTGTAATAAGCTGGCCTTATCTCATACATGTTTGAAGAATATGAATTTGAAAAACATATTATGAATTTGAATACATTTTCACAGCGCAGGCCAAATGTAATTAACTGTCTCTTCATGAACGAGGGGAAGAAACACATGCATCAGCATTAACACTTGCAACAATGCAAAGCTAACATGATTAGTGGCAAATTGTTAACATGTAGAAATACCTGTATGGTCTTTAACACTCTTTCCACAGTCTCTATTTTGCTTCCCTTTCTTTTAAAAATAAATGATATGTTGTAATTTCTTCCAGGTATACAGATATGGGAATGAAGAGGCCAATATCACTGATGAACGTTACTTTGAACGTCTTTTTTGGAATGGCAGCAAAAATACAAATGACCTGCAGGACGGCTCCATCTTCATCATAAACGTGACATTAAATGACACGGGACGCTACAGGTGCATATTCAGCCGAACCCTGATGTATCCTGCCTACGAGTATTCCACCTTTCCCAACAAGACTATCGACCTGATAGTGGTGCCAGAACGTAAGGAATTTTGAAGCGTCTGTTTGAGCGGGAAGGGGGAAAACTAAATAAGAAAGTTGAATCAAAGAGATGTATCATAAACAGCTGGATAATTTAGACTGTTCTGATTCAGTCTCACCGCTCTTATTGTATGATTGTGAGCCCAGTGATAAACAGAGCAGATCAATGGAGAAGGAATCGATTGTTATTTGCAGCTTAAATCATAAATTGTGGACGTTAACTAAGCAGGGTTCGGGAAGTAACAAAGTATATAATCACTCTATAATTCAGTACAGGAACTTAAGACTCATGACTCAAAGAGAAAATGTATGGCATAGGTAGCACTCATCGTTTGCATGGTACACATTTAATCTAACCCCTTCACATAAGCACTCAGATACAACATGTCTTATCTTCTTCTCTGAATCTAGTCACCAGGGGATGGGCATCCATCTTGTCTGAGGTGATGATGTACGTCTCCCTCATCGGGCTGCAGGTATGGCTGGTGATTGAGATGATTTACTGCTACAGGAAGATTTCAGTGGCTGGAGAGGAAGCTCTTAGAGAGAACGCGTGAGTAACACCAAACACACTCCAACATACACAGCTGGACACTGCAGTCCTTTCCTTTTCCCTCCTGACACTGTTTGGAAAGCAGAAATTCAGTTTCAATCAGCTCTTTTTAAATAACACACATCTACCTTTTTCCTCACTAAATATATATTGTTCTGATTCTGTTTCACTGGTCTTGACAGCCTGTTTTTCTATTTCCATCAGGCCGGAGTATTTAGCTATAGCGTCGGAAAGCAAAGATAACTGTGCTGCTCTACAAGTGGCAGAATAGCACCGGTAGGTCTGGTCTCTTTTTTTTACTTCATGTCTGAATTCAGTTTCTCCTCTTGCTTTCCTTTGTTCTCTCTTCTTTATTTTACGAGACAGGTGCTTATACAATGTCGTTTTACGAATGTATTTTATTGTTACCACATATAAGGGGAGAACTGGGTTGAAAGGAAACATTTTGAAGGATCTTTTAATTATGTGTAGTATATTTGTTCTTTTTCTTGTACACAGATTTTTTTAAATTACAATATAGAGGATTTTAGCACTGTTAGGGAACCACTGACTCTCAAATATTTTCAAAAATTATTTGACTAAAGTTAAAGCCATTCAATGATTATAGAGGTAGTTGTGTGTTCATCCAATCCTATTGTATGCTGGTGGAGGAAAACTACTCAATTAGGGAACAATTTAGAGAAGAGGTGATTTGGGCTGTGGCGCAGTTAGCTGTGTGATCATCAGATCAGATCAGGGGGGCTGGGAACACCACTTCATTCCCACCTTGACCCCCCCACCCCACTCCCCCACAGCAGTCAGCATGCCGCTGTGTCCTTGGGCAAGACACTTCAACCTTAATTGCTTCTGTGGGTGTTGTCGACAGTATTGATGTATTACATGTCTGATATATGTCATGTAAAGCGCTTTGAGCACTTGTAAAAGCGTTAAAATAAATGCAATTACATATTTGGATTATTGTTATTTGGATTTAGTCACAATGAAAACAATTTAGAGTGCCATTCGACACGTTTTTGCCTCAACATATAACGATTTGATAGTGAATGAATAACTATAGGATAAGACAACATCAGCATTTAGATTGGCGCACCATAAACCTAGCTTAAACTGTGTAATATTCAACGCCATTTACGAGCACATTTCCTCCATTTTGGCGTCGCTCCATTGGCTGCCCATACATTTTAGGATTTATTTTTTAAATGATCTTATTTACTTTTAAATCCCTCAATGGCCTGGCCCCACCCTACCTTTCTGAGCTGCTACCCCCCTACCTGTATTGTATTTATTTATATATTAAGATTGTTTACCTTTTACTTTACCAATTTTGCTGACAGGTTTATGTTTTGTACCTCAGGTCGAGGACAATTCCAGATGTCTTCCTTGAGGAATCTCATATTCCCACTTTGACACTCGAGTCTCCTCTGACCGTCCCTCACATCAGAACTAAACCACAGAGAGGACACAGATCTTCACTCGACTATCTGCAAAAAGATGGAAAGGACTGAACTGCATCGTGTTTGGAGGACAGGATGGATGCATCAGCTTGTGGATTAACAGGAAGAGATAGAGGGTAGAACTGTATATATGCACAGATACTCTTATATAAATAATATAAACCTATATTGACTATCCACTATCTGCATGCTTATAAGCTAATCCAAATGACCAACATCAAGCTTCAAATGTTGGTATTTAGAAGCTTTGGTGCGCATATAACATATTTGTATTTATGAATCAATATTTTAAAAGCAAATCATATATTTAAGGTGTATTTTACTTTTACTTATTATACTATTAAGACTGAATTTGGCTGGAAATGTACTTTCTGTTGTGATGTAACAAAGTGGGATTGTAGGCATACGGAGGAAACACTGCTGATATCCTTCCTGCTATGAAACATTTGAGCAGTTTTTATGCCAAAGAGTACGAAGTATTTGTCAACTTTTTATCAAAAATAGCCTGAAAGTGTCTCAGAAAACAGCATTTCGGCCAGAATGAGAGACAATACCAAATCCTTTATATCAGCAGTGTTCTCACAGCTGCCAATTTCTAAAGGTTAACCCCGACTGGCAACAAATCCAACCCTTATTTACTTCTGACATTTTTTACATACATATTTGAACTAAGCTGATATGAGAACATTGATATGTAAATGATATGTGCGTGTAAATGGTCTCCAAAAGCTAAAATCCCAAAGTTTTCTCCAGAGGGGGTTCTTCTCCCACACGAGAAAATCACATAAAAAGGCCCAACAGTAACGTTTTTACTTTTTCTCTACATCCCCAAGAGATTATGATGATCAGCGATCAAAATGTAATAACGTTTTGTTTTTTCCATATACATTTCAGTGAAATTTCCTTTGAATTGAATCCATTGTTTAAACTGTCTGTGTAATGCAAAAAAAAAAATCCAACCCGTGGTGGTCAAGCGCAAAAACTGCCCCTGAAGCCAAAGTGAGATTTCCTGTGACATATGTAGCACACCAGATCAATTCGTAGCTCACAAAGAAAAGCAGCTTTAGCAAACACAAACCGACATAAAAGCTGTCACTTTAAGCTGAAAGTGGAACATATCCCACTGCAATTTGAAACAAATGTCTGAGTGTTTGTGGAAAAAACTTAAGGGCTTTGCAAATGGCTGTATTGATCTAACTGCTGTGGGTTAATACCCCACACAACCTGTCCAGTGTGCCTCCCAGGCTGAAACCAGTGGAAACCAAAAGGGAAAGGGCAGAGGTGGAGCCGTGTTACAAATCTTTAGTGCTTTTAATAAAAAAAAAAGCTACTTACTTCTCTTTCCAGCTGGCCAGTTACTCGCGATGAACACTAGAGGGCAAACACTGCTGTTAGTGTTCATCTCTTTTTGTACCAAATCTGAGTTTGACACTAGTTGAGAAACTGAGAAGGGGACACACACCAGCTGATACAGTAACACAGAATCACTGCAAGCTTACTGACGTGGAAGGAGTCCTGTCGGAGTACTGTCCTAAGATATACAGGCTAAAAAAGAAAGCCATGACTTTAATAAATACGAAGAGGGAAAGCCACCCAATCAAGAACTGTTACATACTGCTTACTGAATGCTTCTCTTTTAGTTTAAATCATTTAATACACCTTTCCTGCACAGATGAACCGACCAGTCAAATGAAAATCTCACTGCTCCCCACACCGTTGGTCTGTCCCCCTTTTCTTTCAACTAAAACAGTTTTTACTCCATGTGTAGGTGTGGAAATGTTGCTTGCCACAATAAAAGGAAAAGAAAAGTGATGCACGGCAAATAAATAAAAAGTGAGAAAATCAGTTGAGTCTTTCTTTTCATGGTAGATAAATGGTAGCTGTGTTCGTGTCAGGACATTTAGTCTAATTTATTTATGACATGCTTATATTCATAAATAAACAACAGCAGGTAATAGCATTGTTCACTAAAGTTAGGTGAAACATATTGCTGCCTCCCGCTTCTCAAATTGAAATATTTGCCTTTTCGTTGTCTTTTATAATATAAACTGAACTTTTAGGATTTTGGAAACGTGGTTGGACAAAAGAAGACATTTCAATCTGAAAATGTAGGCTTTGGGATTTTGGACTTCTTTTTCCCGATACAAAACCCATTTTAAACCAAATAACAGCCACAATAATCTATAGGAAACATAACAGTTCCCTCACAATCCAGTGCTAACGTTGAGAAGGTAAAGACAGACACAGACTCAGACATAGGCGAGCAGTTGTTGTGTGTTTTAGAACTTTTCATTTCTCTCCATGGCGCGGTGTACAATCACATCTTTCCAGTACATTATCAACCCCGCTACTCATCCGTCTCTCTCTCTCCCCCCTTAATCCTCTCCAAATCCTGTC